TGCATATCCAAAAAACTGAAGGCGCTCATGTTTTCCTTCCGCTCACGCATGGGTAGAAGCCAGCGCGAGGCGGCATGCATATGATTTACCGTCGCGATAAAAAACAGTTAAACCTTTTTTTCCACGAGGCAAGACATTTCTTTTCATGATAAGCAAATACTTTGTCATATTTCAGAATCAGGCCATTTCCCGAAATTTAAAAAAGTATTTGGAAACATGTTTGTTATTTTTTCAGTCTGCAATTAAAAATGCGGTAAAATCAAAATTGAACGTCATTGTGTTGCTTTCACAATACTTTAATGTAATGAGATCGTATGCGTTAGATGCTTAAATTTCACCAGAGCAGGACCGCAGGACCCAACTCATTTTGGGCAGGTATTTTAGGAAATTCTTAACATTTGTATCCACTGGAGCCTCCAAATACTACACACTGATAGTGATATTCTGTTCGCATATTGAAGATAAGTTCGGATTTACTTGCAAGCCATTGGCTATACTTGACTCTGATTGGCTTTAAAATTACTGAGTTTGCCTCTGATTAACTTTAATTGTCTCCAAGTTGGAGTTTCATTTGACTGGATTTACGAGTCAGTTGACTCAAAACTGGGAAAAAAACACATTGGATATTGGATCTAGAGTCCAGACTCTTAAAAACATCGACAAGAACCAAGCCTCTTAATTTAAGCGGATTTCGTTTTGATTCAAGCAAAAATCCGATTGAATCAAGAACATTTTTTCTTGTCAATGTTTTCAAGAGTCTAGACTCTAGATCCAATGTGTGTTTTTTTTTTTCCAGTGAATGGATCTTCAACATAGGAACAGAATATTATAATTTTCAACATGCGCATATAAGTTCTTTTCTTTCCAAGTTAATGCCAAATTTGGCTGGATAAGCTGTATAGAACATGGTAATTGATTAAAAAATCGAGCTCCAAGCCAAATATGACAAACAACATGTAGGTTGAAATATTACTGTTATTTTCTATTTTGTCTATTATGCTACTGACCTCTATCGACCATTCTGCGGAGCATCTCTGCTGCTTCGATGGAGATGCAAGCAACGGGGACCTTGGTGACGTTTTCGGCGTAGTTCATGGAGCCTGTATGGGGAGAATTGATGGAGAAGGGAGCCACTGAGCGCACCAATGTTGCCACTGCTCCGTATTTTCCGGCCTCCACTGCGGCTCTCCCCCGGTACTCCACCGTCACACCATACCATACGTAAGCCTCGTTGAACACCAATATCTTCCCTTTGATCTAGGAACGCAATCATGAAAATTAATAGTTAGTTTGTTGGTATAATTTTAAGACATTCAGCGTCACAGGCTATTAGCGTCCTTCCAGAGAATTTTGAAAATGGGAGTATATACGAAAATGTATTAGATTTTTAAATTAAGAGACGTGAAGAGTTTCAGAATTTTGGTAGTAACATTGGGTTCATCGCATGTAAGTGGGTTTGTATTTCTGTTGATTGTAGGGGAGTAGATCTGTGATTGGAGATATCTGAGGGCAGAGCAGTCCATAAATACGTGTTTGATGGTTAGAGGCGATAAATTACAGAAGTTACAGATGGGCTGATTTTCTTTGGAGATGATATGACCCTTAGGTGAAGGTGATCAAATTCATGGTTAAAGTCTGAGACTACATGTATCTTTACCTAAAGATGCCCAAGCCGGATCGAATGAGGGGCTTGGAGGACACAACGCATAAGTGCGGTTTTTGAAAAAAAACGAGATAATATAGATTTTAAGTGAAACTGGTCTTATCGCTTATCCTGTGGAAAATTTGCTCCCAAATTCCAATTTTTAAGCGTCAAAAAGTCAGTTTGAACTGTCTCTCTGTCACAAGGACCCATGTAATTTCGAAACTTCAAACGCGTACTTCTCGAAACAGCCTGCGTCTTGTCCTCCAAGCCCCTCAAATTGACTCGAAGATTGCTAAAAACGCGTGATCAAATTTTAAGTAAAGAAAAAAAACGGGTGTCGCCAAAACAGCCGAAGAGACTTTATCGGGCCTCGTTTTTCAACTTTCCTCCCGAATCCAAGCGACACGTCCTCATTTGAAGTATAGAGCGGATCGTTGTGAGTTATTGTCTAGCGCCATCGCGCCTTCAATTTTTCAGATGCAATACGGACATCCATCAAGCACGAATAGTTGTATCTCTGCGCCGTCATCAATGCGCGTCCTTTCCCTTCTATTTCCATGTTAAGTTGGTTCCATTGGTTTTTATTTGTAGTGGTGCTTCAAGGACTGCGTGAGCAACACATCCGTCGATAGGAGAAACGTAATCGGGCCTCGTTTTTAAACTTTCCTCCCGAATCTAAGCGACACCTCATCGGCAGCATAGAGCGAAGTATTGCGAGTTTACGTCGCGCGCCATATGGCGCCTTCAATTTCGCAGATGCAGCACGGACATCCATCAAGCACGAATAGTTGTATCTCGGCGCCGTCATCAATGCGCGTCCTTTCCCTAGCTCTATGCTGTGTTGGTTTCGTTCGTCTTGTGTGTATTGGTGCTTCAAGGGATCAAATCAATGTATGTAAATACGGGTCAGTTTGATCCGACTTAAGGCTTAGCGTTTAAAAAGTCTTGGATATCTAAGGGTTAATAGACAACTAGACAGAATGAGCGATAAAGGACATACTGCTACGAGACATGTTCCCTCGAAAATCAAAATTTTTCATTCCTTAAAATTTCCCAGGCAAAAACCCCAATTTTGCACTATGAACTGAATTTGGTCACTCTCGTTGTGTCTATTTTTATCCATAATTTTGATAAGGAAACGTATGCTGTACAAGAGATATAATAGACGCTTCGCAGCCCGCGATAAGATATACATACAATAAAATAAAAATTTAAATTTAAAAATTAAAAATTTAATTTCGCAGCATGAACTGAATTTGGACATTCATGTTGTGTCTATTTTTATCCATAATTTTGATAAGGAAACGTATACTGTACATGAGATATGATAGACGCTCCGCAGCCCGCGATAAGATATACATAATAAAATAAAAATTTAAAAAAAGGGTAACAAGGCTAAAATTTCACGAATAAAACCAAAACGTTGCGGCTGAAAACTCAGCCTCCCTCAGTTGGACAAATAAAAACAAAAATGGTAAGAATCTAAAATAGTTGTTATAACAGCATAACAACATTCTCACTTTGAAAGGTACAGCCAGGTACTATTTTAGATTTTTTCGACTTTTCTTTTTATTTATCCAACTGAGGAAAGCTGAGTTTTCAGCCGAAACGTTTTGGTTTAATTCGTGAAATTTAATTATTGTTACCCGCTTTTTAAATTGTTATTCGATTGTATACTATACACCTAGTGCTTCATTTACTACGGTGTCCAGTGGTCCATTGCTACGTTTCAACAATTCCACCAATTTTCCTGAGAGGACAGCATATTAAACGAAAGTCCGAAGAGTTCCTCTGATTTTTCCCGCATTCCTCGGTTACTTTGTAAAATTTAGAGCAAAAGGTTGAGTTGTTTTACTACCATAGTTGCGGTTGGGTAGATAGATGAAAAATATGTACAAAAGTACAGTTACACACCCAATGAATGGATTTTGTCTCTAGGTCATGATTCTTATACATGAAGTGGCGAGGCGTACTTTGCGAAACATCGATTGATCTGCCATTTAAACTTAGAGTCCCTTTATACTGAGAGTCAAGACAATTTGAATCCATTTCTGATCGGTTCCCGTATTTTGGGCCTCCACAGTGTCACAAACGGGAATAAAGATTACATTTTCACCAATTGCAAAGATTATAATCTGGAATGGACCAGGGAATTACGGGTTCGGCAAGGAACAAACGGAATGAGAGGAGGAACGGAGAAAGGCATTTGAGAATGGGCCGATCAAAGATTACGAAAAACGTTCAATTTCTGTAATCTTCATTCCCGTTTGTGACATCCATGAGCCGAGTTGTCTTGACTCTCAGTATAAAGGGACTCTAATTTAAACTCATGGAGAAGGATCGATAAACAGGGTGTTGGCAACGAACACCTTAATAATCGATTCTTCACCATAGCTCCAAATGGGGAAATCGATAATCGATTAATCGATCATTCAGGCCTCGCCACCGCTTCCCAAGTTGCCCCAAGTAGCAGTGATCGCGATAAATAGCGATTTTATCAGTTGGTCATCGCGATTATTTCGGTGGCAATACATCGAGATATTATCGCATTAAAAATCGCGATATATGGCGATTAAATCGCAACAAATCGCCATTTTTGGTTCGATAAAATCTTAATCAACTTTTGTTGATAAAATCTTGTTCAACTTTCGTTGAAAAAAATCGAGATTAAATCGCCATTTATCGCGATTTTTATTTCGAAAATATCGGGATAAATTGTCGGGCGATAACAGCGCGATTTTATCGTGGTAAAGTCGAGGATAATCGCTCAGATGTTGACGATCCTGGCGATTTTATCGCCGATAAAATCGCAATATATAGCGATTTTTCCGTTGAAAAATACTACTTGGCTTACATCAACTTTATACTTACTGCATCTGTGTTGGTGCTGTTCAACCGCTCAAGTTCTTCAAAAGAGTCCACGACTACAACATCTGCAGTCAGACCCTCAGGTGGGGTACCGATCGAATGACCCAAGCCTAAAATTTTGATCTCGGTTTTCCTCGGGCTCAGCAAGTAGGCCGCCTCGTAGCCTCTGAAATTTTATGAAATATTATGAATAATATGAATTTTATGAACATAGGATATACATAAATACACCTGGAAATATGATTTGCACTGGAAAAAAACACATTGGATCTAGAGTCCAGACTCTTGAAAACATTGACAAGAAAAAATACTCTTGATTCAATCGGATTTTTGCTTGAATCAGAACCAAATCCGCTTAAATTAAGAGGCTTGGTTCTTGATTTAAGTTAGATTCTGATTGAATCAAGAGTACTTTTTCTTGTCGATGTTTTTAAGAGTCTGCGGACTCTAGATCCAATGTGGTTTTTTTTCCAGTGTGCTATGAAGAGAAATTTTTCTTTGTCGCGAGAAAAACGTAAAATAATATCAAATGATTCCATCACAACCCGAAAATTGTAATCACGGTAGGTAAACTTGCGTTGTCCCAGCTAAAATTTTACTGGGCGCAATAAGTTGTTCCCTCGACGCAACCAGTGGCGATTTTTCAAGTCAGTAACACTGTTTTTCCTCTATTTAAATCCATTGAAAATATCGATTTTAGATGAGACAAGCTGCCTCGCCAAGATTCGATTGTTCTCCCCTGGTAAAAATTGGCGATAAGAGCTGCGTTTCAAAA